TAGAAATAATTTATTCGAGTGGTCGCAATTCAAAAGAAACAGGCGAAATATTTCGCATTTCGCCGAGAAAAAGCGCCCGTGGAATCAGGCCTTTATGCTTTCACACTTGTATTCGTCTTTTCCGCTTAGCTCAGGGCCAGGCTTAGATCTTAATTGAAATAACTGTATAATGAGATGCAATGCATTGTGGGAAGACCCTCATTCCTCCTCTGATACGCTACGAGCTAAGCGGAAAAGTCGAATACGAGCGTGAAAGGCTTAATAACACAGTACTAAAATGCGGTAGGGCCTACAAGTAAAGTTATAGTTAGTACGCTACATTCTTCTTCAAAACTGTCAGCCGCCAGTTGGTCTAGGATTAAACTGCGCTTTAAAACGTTGAAAATAAAATATTTTGCGGCTTTTGGGTTCAAAATACTATCAAAATGAAGCGAGAAGTGAGACGAATCCACTGGTATACGGCCGAAAAAGACAAAACTAATGATACCAAAGTTATCAAGGGTCAAACGTACTGCATTTTTTTATAATTAGTTTAATAATATTGAGCGATTGGCAACAATACAATTTCGCTTGGCTTTCAAAGACGAAGGCCATAAATCGCTAGAACACTGTTGTTTAGTAATACATTTGACATTCGTAATTAATAGTACAATTTCTAACGCTGAATCGAACGGCGGTATTTTTATCCTTATTGGGCCATTAGCCATTACAAATACACTGTGAAACGTGTTGCGAGCGATTTGTCAACAAATACAATTTCGCTCTATTTTCAATTCAAAGGCCATAAATCGCTAGAATACTGGTGCTTAGTAACACATTTGACATCCGTAAGTACAATTTCTTACGCTGAATCGAACGGTGGTATTTTTATCCCTATTGCGCCATTAGGCATTACAAATACAAGGACAAACCTGTGGCAAACGTAGTGCGAGTGATTTGTGATCAACAATATTTACGTACTGCGAGCGATTTTTCAACAATACAATTTCGCTTCATTTTCAAAGACCATAAATCGCTAGAATACGGGTGTTTAGTAATATACTTCGAACGGTGTCGCTTTCTTCTCAAAGTATAAAGCAGCGCAGTCAAACGTATAAACCTTTATAAACTTGTGATTTGCGAAGGTTGCTGTTTCCATGCGAAATTCCTTGTAAAATTGTTCAATTTTCCCGAATTTTCCTCAAAATGGAGGGCTATTTATGGATAATTTGGGTAAAAGGTGGCAGGAGCCTTATGGATAATTGGGGGAAAATTAGGCAGCTCATTAATATCGACGACGAGTGGCGATTGCCGATCCACTAAAAATGAATGCCGAAACCTATACTCGCCCGGGGCACTGTGCCCCAGCGAGTAATTATAAAGCAAACAATACATCAATATTAAAAACAAACTTACCTTCATTACTTTCGGCGACTTGGCTCTATTCTTTTAGACTTTTTAGACGTTTTGTGACTCTCAGAAAGGTTTTGAAATTTTCAAAATCTTGCAAAATTACAACTTGCAAGAAATGTTTGTTATTTCGCTGTCGTCATGCAGTCGTTATAATGCAAATTTCAAATTTGACCAATCACTATTCACGACAGTCCGCTACATATTTTGAGATAAGTGAGGATTACCACCTGGAACCTTGAGCCATGCGCCCGCGATTATGTTCAGTCTCGTTTCTGAGACTTCAGGAAAATATTTTTTTCAGTACGGATCACGCAGCCTG